TTATTTCCATTCGTGTTCATGCGAGGAATTTTCGGGATCAAACGAAGCAACAATTGGGATATGAAATCCCCGAGACCGTCAAAAATGAAACTGAAAAACGGCGGGAGTTAGATAGTGAGGACTAATGGGGACCTGTACAGTCAGTCGACGGGAACACAGAAAATAGGGACAATTCCGTACTAAGCCCGTAAATAGAACAGAGCATTCATAACTACACACATACATGCACATGGTCAAGCTTCCGGGCTTAAACATAAATCCTGATACGGTACATTTGACACACAACCGCATTCATCTATGCCACCAGTAGAAAACCACAGGATAACAAATTGTAGATGATTGAAAACTGATCAATCTGGAGGTTGGATGACTCAGAATCGCATCTTACCACAAAAACACATCCGACGCACTTTGTGTGTGCCATACAAGAGAGTGAATAATCGTCAGTCCAGGAAGAGAGAGAAAATGTACCAGCGGTCAGAAGCTGAATTATAATGATTATCCGATGAGATGGATACACTTACGAGAGCCCCTGTGCATACTTCCAAAGATAAATCGTTTATTTTCAGTTGGCACTGGTCCAAGGTCAAAACCAAGCCGTTTAATTGAAGTTAATGGATCGACGTGAAACGCATTGTTGTCCTATAGCGATACGCGGTAGTTTATTTATTTATTTTTTTTCTGGCTAAAAGCCCTCAGTTCCTTTCAAAAAGTAAACGTGATTAGCACGGGACAATGGCTTTGCATTTTAGCAGTGATACTTGCGATCAATTTAACGAGGTGAAAAGCCACACAAAAAAAGGACTTGGAATCAGAAACGCACCGTTTCGGAGGTTGTTTTGCGATCCATTTCCCTGACAGATCGGTAGTCTCGAAAGAACGGATACAGTACTGCATTCTTACTCATCTGATCAGTTCAGACGCTAAACAGTCTGTGAAATAGACAACACATCAAATCAGATGCTAATAGTGCCGTAAATCGATCTAATAAGATATCCGCAACAGTTAGCAAACAAAATTCAGGCCGCCTATGGGATGGCGAATTCGTGGCATTGGTCGCAGGCCTATTCAGTGTAACAGGTGGTTTACATGTAAATAACCCGCGGAAGCCGACGGTGGAACTCACAAACGCTCAGTCCGGCTGAGGTGATCAAGCGATTNTCACATGACTTCGGAGGTCCGTTGTTCCAATCCAATCACCACCGCATACCTCTCCATTTTTCTTAGGTGGTAGTGGATAATCGAATTCGATTTATTGGTCGATCGAGTCGTGCACTGGGCAACGGCATCAGTGAGGGAGAGGCTAGGAAATTCTGCACAGCTGTTACGATCTTGCTGGATCCCATCAAATGTGTGAATCCATCGGACCAACTATGGGCTGCATCCGGAATCTCATGGGTAGAATGCAAGTACATTAACTGCTTCCGAAAGCCCCTGTTTTGTTAGGTGTGTCCTGGGTTATGAATGATAAACTTCTTTTGCACCTCGGGAAATGCTCCCAGATCGCCAATCAGCCTCTGATGAGGAAGCTCTACTCACTGTGTTACCGTGGCAAAGATGTTCTTCCACCAAAGTTCTATACTCAAGTCTGTGAAGTACCGACGGATCATTTAGGGGAGTTGGTAAAATCCGTGATTCCAAAATGACCAACGAGAGACATACGAACTACACCCACACCCACCGTTCTGACAGTGTTAACCAGTTTGGTTGAATATCGAGACGTACTAGGCACACAGGACGCTGGACTCGGACCAAAAAGCACATGATCCGATTGCGGTTCATACACAACTCCGTGACCTTGCGGGTCAGGTTTTGGTTATCCGAAGGCTTTGACGTGAATCTGCGAAGAAAATTCATGTGCTTCGGCCTGGGCAACCTGGAAGTAATCCGGACATTTCTTTGTTATAGACAGTGTTGCGCCGTGATTTGTGCCGCACACGGTGTGCAGACATGCATGCGTGAAATATAACAACAGTATGCTACACATTTCACCATCGGGTACATGATAAGATTGTTTTGATGTACGTGCACGCGGTAAATCATATGGTAATCGTTGAAATGAAAAACTTATTCCTACTACCAATTACTTGTGCAATTGTGAATTCAGCAATCAGGTGAGAAAATAATAAATGACATCACCAGCTCTTTCTTCTTGTAACAGGCAATTATGACTGGGTAGTACGAAAGAAACCCAGCATAATGTGATGTGATGTTGACAGAAACTTGTTCGAGACGCCACCCAAACCCGCTATCACGGTAGAGGGTGGGTGTTTAGGAAAATGAATCTTACTGTCTCTGGATTCTATGAAATGCCTTCCACCAAATTAAGCTTATGAATTTGTCGAATATTTTTCTTTCACAGTAAAGCGAAGGACCTAACCTCCGGCGGTCAACACTCGATCGACGATCCCCTAGTGGCCAGTTCGTCTGGGAGCACATGGACTGGTCGCGAACTAATGGCTACGGTGGCACCGGGGTGCATTGAGCAAAATGAACGTGGGAAACATTTCCGAAGACTCCCTCAGTGGTTTGCAGCCTCGAAACACCATTCGAATGTCTCGTGGGTTAAAGTATTCTGTCGAAGTCTTAGGGTGCGGTCCCTCAATTAAACCGCTTGCTTTTGGTTTGGGCAAACGGGTAGTACGATAGTTCACAAAATTGACACAAACACGGATTATAGGCAGCCCTTCGCATTCGTTAGCCACATATTTGATGATGCGTGGGATTGGCCACCGGTCTGTTGAACTGCATGCGGTCGGTGTAAGAAATGGCACCGGACGAGAATGTTTATCGTGCATTGAAGTTCATCAACTTCGGGTCCGTAAGCGTCAACCACAGACCAATCATGGACACTAAGAGGTTCAATCCTGTTCCCAGAGAGCAGTGGCATTTCAAGTAGTATCACACGTACAGATCAAAGCTTGAATTTCCGTATGGATGGTTAGAAAGAACCAGGGACAGAGAGAGAGAAGATATTGTCGGGTTCATTGAATTATTATGTCCATTCTATAAACTGGAAGTCCTGAGACGAGAAACGTCCAAAACTGAATCACTAGATGATAAAACATGGTCACGCGTTCGACCGAGATTTAGTACTTAACTGAGTTGTNACAAAAACAGTCGAAACGGTGGAGAATAGGCTGGCGCATGACAGCTACATCTCTCTGCCCGACTGACGCTCCGGTCTATACCTGAGTCATACAAACAAAGAGCACGGATGTGGGCATTAGGACGATACGGTCTCAATCATACACTTTCTCTCTCTGGCGCTTTCATCTCCTCGCGTGCGTATGCACGCACACACACGTGGCATGCACTGATAGATCTATACACGTGAGAAGTCCCGGAAAGAGAGAGAGCCAGTCCAAAAATGGACCAACAGAAATTCGTTTTATTTAGGAAAACCCCGGAGAACAATGTCACAGAAGGGCAAATTGATGGGACACATGATGACCTCTGAGTCNGAGACGTAAACCATAATAGTGTGTCACCTCATCGTTTAAAAAAACCGCTAGATGACTTTCAAAGCATACAACTATATCATCCGATCCGTACAATAGATAATGATCAGGAACATGAATGGTTTGTGTTGGCCTGGCACAAAAATACGGAATCTTCATTGAACTATCATTCTCCTCACATCAACAAAAATAAAATACAGATCCGGCATAGTACACGAGTGGGTCAACTCTCAGGATAAAAAACTTAAACAATATGCGTGTTAATGGCTGCATCGTGTATGAACGATTTCCGCAAGAACCTAATAGACGGGCAACAAGCCGTCCCCCCCCCTTATTGTTACCGTATCTTAGGTGGAACGCTGCGCACGATTACCAATGCAGACGGCTCAGCCGTTAGTGTAGTACACGTGCACCTCGCTATATGTACTAAGAACTACATAATCACACTGTATTTAGCGAGTTAATGAAGTACCGAAAACAAGTTTGTTGACCACTTTGTTCTCCGAGGCAAACGCTCAGTTTATTGCCCGTATCTGGCTGGGAGCATTACTTCTCATCTGCTCATGTGGTCTACTTTGACCATGATTCAGTGCAAAATGATATATGACGAGTGTGAGGTAGGAGTCCGTAGTTTCTGTATATCCGGAAATCAGACCACGAATTAAAGTACCAAAGGAAGCGAAACGAAAAGTGTAATAATCAACTTTCCATTCTTACTTGTTCAAAATCATGGATACAAAGCCATTACGTAAGAAAGAGACCGGTTCACCTAATCAGCACGTTATGTGTGCACTATAATGATTGTGTTTGGTAAGAGGTGTAAGCATGCTTTCCATCTACATCGTAATCTATACGCACAAAATAGTGATGCACGGAGGTGATTCCACTGATGAGTTTGATTGACAATCGAACGACGATAAGCAAAAATCGATGATGATTCTTCCAAATTGATATCGTGATTTGGACGAGATCATCTGATTCGAGAAAATGTTACCAATGCAATCACAATTGTAAACAGATGACAGATATTTAACAGCGAACTACAGAAATCACACAGCGCATAACACGAGGACAGATTTGAGATAAAAAAAATCACGAGAGCAAATCAATTTTTCCCCGTTTTGTATAAAATGAAAGAAAGAAAAAACGGTTGCAGAGCGCGACAAAATCGATGCTTCAGTTTGGACGAAAACCCATGGTTAGATTGATATTACTACGTGAATAAACAATGCCTGTGTACCGGGCTGCTTTAGCCGGCCACCTGACCACAGGTAAGCAGGACGCGAGACCGTGATGGGGATGGGGTGGCAATACAGACACGAACATACACATCCATACGGAGTGGTGCAAGTATGCAGACAAACAAAAGACGATACACACACACACAGTACCTCCGTACAGACACGCTTGGGCACAAAACCCGACGTTCTCGGAAGGTCCCCTCGTGTGTGTGTGTGTGTGTGTGCACACGCCACAGGCATGCGAAGATCAGAAAAGAGTCGACACGTACCGAAATTTATGCCGACTGAACGTATGCACCAGCATATCTTGGACATGTTCCAAATAGATCAGATAGTCAATCACATATTTGTCCACATCCACATCGTCTACCGGGCACCAGTAGGTCACATTCGATGGCAATCCGCCAAAATGATTGTACGCTTGAATACGCACTTCCAAATAGGTCATCAGGAGACAGGCCTCGGACAGACGATTCAATTCTTGAGCACACGTGGCAAATGGACTGGCTACTAGCGGAGGACGTGGACGCGGTGGTGCAGATGTGGCCGCGGAAGTGGTAGTGGTGGAACTTGTTCGAACATGAAGTTGTGATCGCCGCCGAACTTGGGTCAGCCACGTGTCCAAACTGAGCACGCGACGAAATAGCCAGCACTATGAGAATAGGCACAATATCAATTGGGCGAATGTAACAAAGTGTTCTCGGCCGGGGGAGGGGGAGCAGTTAGTAAAAGTATTATTCTGTTCCAAGCGGTATAACGGTTCGTGAGAACCTAAAACGACAAGTATGATACACAATTTGAGGGATAATGATAACTCTGACTTCACAATTGCAATTCGTTCAAGCTATGCACATTAGGTTCCATAAACCGCGACTGAGGAGTCATGTACCTTTCGCATTCTCCAGGAGCAGCGATTTCACGCACGTCAATCACTCATTCACCAATTTAAGTCTTTTGACTTCAGATGCCGCACAAAAACATCTGCACTGATTAGGCAACATACGCTGAGCCAGCCGGGTGATTCACCGTCACCAACTATTCGCGCACATGTGATTGACTGGCTAAGTGGTTGTCGGATGGTCGAACTGACTCGTCACTCTGTCCATCGGATGATGAAACTACGGTTCAAGATCAACTGACCAGTGGAGTTAAAAGATAAATTGGGTGCATAAATTAGGACATCAATTTGAGATTGCAATCGACTACGCGTTAGGGTTCGTGTAGCCGCTTGACTAACACTGAACGAGAGCTGATAGGTGCTTTCATCACTCAAATGGAGGTGAAACAGGAGCTAATTTCACTTGAAGATTCGGAACGATTATCGGTAGGATAAAGTGCTTTCTGTTTCAGATCAACTATTCATTAGAGTAAATCGATAAACATCCTTGATCAAAATACGTACTGTAATTAAGGATATAATTCGTTAAATATTCACGATAGCTTGAGTTGTAACCATTCCCATAAAGGTCGGGAGGTTGAGGAGTGAAAGAATGTCGAGAAGGGACAAACAAGTGTTCCACAACTTAGGTGTTCTGCGAAAAAGGACAATCTTGAGCTCCAGTCATCATACGGCACCTTGGAATACACATGTAGCAAAGGTGAGTAACTGTGAAAAATGGGTCAGTGTTGGCCTGGTAAACGCCAAAGTTTAGTTTGAAGATTTATTTCTTCCACAGCTTTGCACAGGGACTAATTTCTCATTATTGGCTAGCTTCACTTGAGAGCTATGGACAATCACACGTTGCCTTACTGAGCCAATCGACGACCAGACGTAAACCTGTCCATGTTCATATTTACCTCACCAATAGTGTGAGTGTTAGCGGCTGTCAAGACACTGTTATCACCAATTCTTTTTTGTTCCTATTCATTAACGACTCACTTACCAGTGAAAAAGAAGACAATCGGACTCATCGAGAACGGTTACGGAGACACACACACACCTTGTTGCGATACATCGTTTGATCAGGAAGGTTCTAATTCGTAGTTAATGCGTCGTAAAAAGCCACTCAACTGCGCAGATTACAGATCTTATGTTAAATAATGATATGATGTCGAAGGCAGTGCTCCGTTTACGTTTGTTTGTTTCGACGAGTGGCTTCCGGGTATCGAAGTTCATTAAATTCCAGGGTGGATAGGTTGGAGGCATCACGAGTTTTCCAAAGCAGTACTCATTGTGAGACGATACATAACCTGATCCTGGGCGGGCATCCACACGTGTGGCAACACGTCTGCTCACC